TATATATATATATATATATATATATATATATATATATATATATATATATATATACACACATTAATATACATATATACATTAATATACATATATACAAGTAATATTTTGTACTAGATAATTAAAAAACCCCAAATATAATTACTAATTACTAAATTATTTTCTATTAACCATTATATAAGAGTAATAAAAGTAATTACACAGACTTACTACATAATAGATATTCTGAATATTATAATATTCTGAATATAAAAATATTGTTAGAATATTTGATTTTAGTAAAGTTTTTTGTTAAATTTCAGTATTACTTATATACTATTACAGTGTTTTTAATAGTTTGAAATAGCTTTCATTTTTATATTAGCAGTCTTTATTTTATTTTTTGTAATTTTGTGTTGTCATTTTCAATAATGTCAAAACAACATTTTAATAACTTTAAAACTATTACTTGTTTTTAGTTTTACTTGTAACAATTTAGTTTTATTTTATTTCAATTAATAAATATGATTTTAATCATATTTTTATAATGTTGTCATTCATAAATTCACTTGCTGCATTTAAAAAAATATTGTTTTTAGAGTTATTAAAAACTACAGAATTTTTATATCAGCTATTTTTAGCCATAACATTAAAATAACTAAAAGGTGATCAGCCAAAATATGATATTGTTTTGTCTACTAGATTGTTTTGGCATTTATTAACAGTGCATCCATAAAGAGGGAAAATAGATAGGTTGAACAACTCTATAAACCTTATTTGCTGAATGAACGCAAAAAATGCTAAACACTTGGATGGAAACCAAATGCTTACACTCTTCAGGAAATTAACCATCAAATGAAGTGTTCACAATGCAACATCAGTGTTAACCACACTGTGGTCTCACCCTCGATGGCGAGTCTGCGGCGAGGCCAGTTCTTCAGCTCCCGCGGCAGCAGCTCTTTCAGACGGATGCTGATGATGTGCTCCTCCAGTGCAAACTCTAGCGTGTAAAAGCGCAGGAGCTCCAGCCACAGCTGACCTAGAGACGCGCTCACCGGCTGCTTCAGCGTCAGACGAGTCTACAAACACAAACACACACACACGTTACTGATAATACTCACCCTAGGGATTCTGTAATCCAGTCATGAGCAGCGGTGAAACGCTCACCTTGCCCTTAGCATATCCACCCTTCTTCTCAGTCTGGGTTTTGGGTTCATGTTTGGCTTTGCCGTCCCCGCGGCCCTCGCCTGCAGGAGCGGGTCTGTGCTCCCAACCCACGAACGAGTCCAACTCCAACCCCGTCAGGTGAAACTCATCCACACGCTTCACGTCGAAGCCCTTGATCTGAGCAGACATGAAACAAAAACACAGTTATTTCAATCTAAAATAGATGTAACAAGCCTCCAAACATGATAATCCTCATGGGGGAACCCATCCTAAAATTTAAAACACTATATGTATACTTCAATAGAAAAATGCTCCATATTTTCATGTTTAAAGGCCAAATTATAAATACACAGAAATAATTATTGTTTCGATATGTTTCATTATTACTTTGCTTTTAGATGTTTTACTTGTTTAAATAACTTTTAATCAATTTGTGCCGTGAAAACTAAATATTATAATAAATATGCAAAATCTTATCTTCTGTTATTTTACATTAATTTTCACACTCACTACAGTACTGTGCTATTAGATGTGCATGTTTATTTAAATTAATTTTTAAAATCAACTTGTACTGCAAAATAAAATTAATATTATATGCATAAAACAGTATTTGGAAGATATTTAGTTTGTTAATTACATGTTTTTACTCACTAAAGTACTGTGCTGTTATTGTATTTGAGGATGCAAATCAATTTTTGCTGTGAATAATGAATATCATAAAAATGTGTAAAATATTACTTGGAAAATATTTAGTTTCTATTATGTTTTTCTCTCAGTCACTGTTAGATGCATTATTTGTTAAATCAATTTATACTGTGAAAAATTATAAATTATTATAAATGTGTAAAAAATTAATTGGAAGACATTTAGTTTATCTAGCAATTATTGTTTTTCCCCACTCATTGTGTAGTACTGTGCTATTAGCTGTATTATTTATTTAAAAAAAAATTCATTAAATTATACTGTGAAAAATTATTATAAACATGCATAAATTATTATTTGAAAAACACGTATATTATTTGAAAAACACGTCTATATTATGTTGCAATTATTTCAAATCTCTAAAGTACTGTACTGTTAGATGCATTATTTATTTAAATCAATTTATCCTGCAACTAATTATTATTACAAATGTTTTATTTGACACTAGTTCACGAAGCTTTTCCACTGACCTCTTGCAGCCCCCAGTTTGAAAACTGACTCAGATTACAGATCTATTTGAGGTTGACTAAAACAGGAGTTCATACCCAGCGTCCTAGATAAACGGGCAGGATGGGCTTGGCTCTCTGTTGCAGGAAGAATATGACCATCAGAGACAGCGAGTAGGACGGGATTCCTCCCTCCGCCTGACAGTCGATGTGGCACAGCTACAGATAAACACACAATCTCGTTAGACCTCGGAGACAAACAGTTACTGTAATGTCTGGAAAACATGATGGCGAGTCATACGTACGTTGGCCCAGTGACGGAAGGCCAGAACCAGAGGCACGAGCCTCGGCATATATATACACACATATACATATATATATATATATATATATATAAAATATTAAAATGCACAATGTATAAACTATAAATATTCAACTATATTATACATATTTAGTCATTTTCCATTTTTGTTATTTATGTTAAATACATACATGTATTTTTTAAAATACATATAAATAATTATAAAATACATAACATTAAGTAATATTTTTATAAGATAAAGTAAACATAATAAATAAATAATTTTACTACAAATGTACAGTGTTAGTCAAAAGTTTGTCCAATGCGGTTTAAACAAGAAATATTTAAATGTAAAACTGTACTTGCTATAAACATAACAGAATTTCATTCATTTATATTAGGTTTACTGTGACTTTTCAAAGTTTTATTGGTTGCCAAGACTATGGGAGTTAATATCAAATTAATTTAAAGGCACAATATGTAAGATTTTTTAACCACTAGAACAGTGTTATATATTTTGCTGACTTGAGTACTTACATTATCCCAAATGTTTCGAAAAATGTTTAAATCCAGAGAAATATGCAATTTTAACGAGTGACACGGAGCATGTCCATAGTATCATTGTGTCGCCTGCCAATGACGTCATAACCCCTCGATTTCCGGTTTTGTAGAAAACATGGAAACACCAAAGACACTTTAATATGTTGTGTGTTTTAATAGACCGGTGACGACCGCACAGAGTAGCATTATAACAGAACTTTCTAATGTATCTAGTATGATAAAACAGTGCTGCTTTACCCCACATACAAACGACCGGAAGGAGCGGAAGCGCTCAACTGTGTCATAATAAAAGCTCCGCTGCTTTACCCCACATACAAACGACCGGAAGCAGCGGAAGCGCTCGACTGTGGCATAATAAAAGCTCCGCACGACCGGAAGGAGCGGAAGCGGTCGACTGTGGCATAATAAAAGCTCCGCTGCTTTACCCCACATACGCACGACCGGAAGGAGCGGAAGCGGTCGACTGTGGCATAATAAAAGCTCCGCTGCTTTACCCCACATACGCACGACCGGAAGGAGCGGAAGCGGTCGACTGTGGCATAATAAAAGCTCCGCTGCTTTACCCCACATACACACTTCGACGGCTTTCAGCCTCACCCTGCTTCATTCTACTACGTTAATAAATCATTAGCTCATCCATGAACATGATTTCTGCCCGAGTCCCGTCGGATTGCATCGGCTGTGGAGATGAAGACCACAACTCCCATGATTCCACACTCAGTCACAGCGTCATCAAACTACGCCTTTGCATCTTTGTTTATTTTGAATATGCGCCCTCTAGCGGCGAAAATGACATATTGTGCCTTTAATCGGCATAAGTAATTAACTCAAATTTATTTTGACAGCCCTCATTGTTAATGAAAATCTGTTCATTACTTTAGATATCTATTTATAGTTACGAAGCAAAAACAGGAGTTGTGTTTATTTATTTTTTTCAGACAACAACATACTGATTGACCAGTCCATTCAAACTTAGAGTAGGATTATCATGGTTTGTAGCTTACCGCTGTTCTTGAGGATCTCCAGCACCTGGATCAGCACATCAGGCTGAGTCATCTGCTCAACAGAGATGTGCAAGACTTTAACAAACACAATAAAACACACAGACACAAATCCAAGCGGCTCATGCAGGTTCGTTCAGACTCACAGTGGAGGGATAAGAGACGTCGATGTTGACGTCACTCGTTTTGAAGGCGAAGCGGGTGAGACATGAGCCGTACAGACGGAGAGAACATGCTAAGATGAAACAAGCATTTAGATATTCAGCAGACTGGAAGAAACACTTTCTTGACTTAAGTTTAGTTGACTTAAGTTCACATCAAGTTTACTTAAGTCTAGTGCAAGCTATAACCCAAGCACTGTACCTGTGAGTTGTTTGCATATAATCCCCTCCATCCGGAGCACCACGGCTTGCCTCAGCGCGAAGTCTTCCTCCGAGATGCCGTGCGTCTCTGCCGCCTCCAGCACGACCGAGTCTAGTGCCCTCAACTGAGCCAGAGAGGGAGCCGGCAGCGCTCGTAGCTCATTCTCCTCCTGCTTCTCCTGCAAAGACCCCCATAAACAAGAGGATAAACAATAAATAAAAAAATACAAATGAGTCAAATCCAATACAAAATACCCAATATATAGCTATAATATCTTTGGTGCTGGTGCTTTAAAGGTGATGAATACAGAACGCTTCTTTCCTGAGAGGGTTCTTTAGCATGCCTGATAAAATTTCCTATAATTTATATAATTTTTTAGAACATTAGAGCATTTCAGCAACATTCTGCCAAAATTATATCTTGAGGATTTTAAAGTTTAAAAGTGAAGAATAAGATATAAACATTAATATTGTTTGTTTGCTTGTTTATTTGCCATGTTAGCATCAGGGCTATTTACATCGCAAAAACAAAGTCAGCATCATAATACATATACTGTTTAATTATTAAAACATTTTAACTTAATATTATTATTGTAAACTTGCAGTGTAAAATATAATTTATTATATTATCAAATTTTCATTTTTGTTTTTTTTACAGTACAATAATAATAATTTATTATTTTTACAGTATGGTAAAACATTTTCATTACTTGAAATAAAATAAAATATAACAAGAAAAACAAACATTTTGCCAAGGCAACATTTCTCATTTTCATTTCGTTTACCTTGATGTACTAAATAAACTGCAATAAAATAATAAAAACTATATAGACATATATATATATATATATATAAAAAAAACTAAACCAAAATGGCAAAAGGCAAAAACATACTAAATGACTAAAACTTTAACAAAATTTAAAATGAAAACTCATTCAAAATATTAATAAAAAATAAAAACCTCAATAGCATCTCAATAAAATACTTAAAATACTAAAATAACACTGGCTGGATTCCTAAAATCCCAGTGTGAATGTAATGTGAACTGAGACACTATCACAACTAAAAAAAAAAGGTTTAAATCTACAAAATCAAACACTAACTAAGAGATTACATATTTTATCTATTTATATGCATGTCATGTGACAATTAAACAACATCAGAGAACATGTGAATTTTAAATAAATTACTGAAACATTAATCTAAAATATCAGCGGACACTTTATGTAGATATCAGCTGACAAATGTTTGGCGACAGAAACTAGCATACAAAAACCTTCTCCAAGCTTAAAGTCACTGTGGGTTTCATAGAGCACAGAAATAAGTGTTGGGAAAAATAACAGCCTGCATCCTCACCATGATGTTCTTCTTGTGACGTTTCTCTTTAATGTGCTTGTGAGCACCCTGGATGTTCTCCACGTGGACTGAACACAGTTTGCATAGATACTGGAAATTGGGGTACTCCGGCGACGGCTGTGGAAATACACAGCGTCTGAGAAAGCAATAGCAACATGCCACATCTCTTCACAGATGAGAAATCAAGAGCCGCTCAACGACTCGGATTCGATTAACAAGGCGCTTTTCACTGTCATTCAAAAGCAAAATCAGCTAGTGAGCGTGAAAAAGTGCGGTCACATTTACACTGATACTCGGAACAGTTAGATCAGAGTTACAGCTAAAGTCAAATGAAACTAGTCTGTGAAAGTTAAAGCAAATACAAACTATAGGGTGAGACTCATATTTAATTGGCACAAAATTAATCCTAAACAGCAGTAAAAGCGTAAAAAAATATTTTTATATATAATTAAAATAGTTTTAAAAAAATGGACAAACATATGAATAGACAGATGAAATCATAAATAGATAAATAAAACAGTAAGTAGATTAAACCATTAAAAATGTATTAAATAAAACAATAAATAATTACAAAATAAATAAAAATGAATTCTACACAGCAGTAAAAATGTAAAAATATAAATATATAAAAAAATTAATAAAAATAACAAAATACAAATGTAAACAAACAGATAGATAAATAAAACCATAATAATAATTAATAAAACAAAAAAATAATGTTTTAATTACAGCAGTAAAAACATAAAAAGAAACTTGAATATAAAAAATAATCCTTTAAAATAAAAACTAAATAAAACCATAAAGAAATAAAAATTAAAACAATTAAAATGATAAATAAAACCATAAATAAATTAAACAAACAAAAACATTCTAAATACAGCAGTATTTAAATAAAGTAAAAATATTATTTACAGTATGTAAATAAAAATCCTTGAATATAATTAAAATATTCCTTTAAAAAATAAAACCATACATAAATCTTTAAATAAACAAACAAACAAATAAAACCATGCACAAAATCACAAATAGCTAAATAAATTTAAATAAACAAACATTGAATTCTCTTTTTTATGTGAAAGTTACCAGCGCTTTGTGTTCATGACAGGAGTTAACTGTACACTGACAGGGGAAGTAAGTTATTCTGTCAAACTAGTCTCATGCTAGCACATATAATGTAAAAATATAAAGACTTGTTGCTACACTTTTAAAACATTTCAGTAACACCTGATAAGTAAGGCTGAACAATTCAAAATGATCTTCTGTGGTAATCTACATTATCACAAACACTGTCAGATAGAGCTTATCATGTACTGAGGCCACATTCATTTCAAATGAATGCGTTTTGAATCCGTGGACTTGAACAACCTAGCACAACAGCGCTTCCTCAATAAATGTCAAGCTTTTGCATGTATGTGTCTTACCTTGAGCAGCCGGTGGATGTAGTCCCTCTGCAGTCTCGCCTCCGCCTGTTTGAGTCCCAGCTGCTGGTCAGAGGTCAGGTTTCCAACCTCCACGACCTCGGCTCTCTGTCTGCCCGCCTCCACACCTGAGATTTAAAGAAACAGACACCGATAACACAACCAACCATTACTCTTTACAAAAAAGCACCTAAAATACACAAACACACGCATACACATACATAATGAATACATAAAATAATACACACACACACTCTCACATATGCATCACAAATACATAAAATAATTATAATTATGTAGGTTATTAAAATTATTACAAAATAAATATACACAACTGCAGAAATTAAATTACGTTACACAATATTAACTCATCACACTTACAAATATTATTTGGACACAAAAAACATACAATTATGCTATGATTAAATTATAATACAATGTATATTAAACTGATAAACCTGCCAGAGAAAGGCAGAACATAGTAAATCCACCAATACTACCGCAGAGAAAACACAATCATCTTGTTAAAAGATGATCAACATTTTCTCTTTTCAAACACCTTTAGCAAATTTTAAATATATATTTTTTTAAATAATTGTTCATTAAATTTCAGCCTTTTCATGCATGTATCATTTGCCACTATTAAAATATACAGCAGCTTTCAAAAGTTTTTTTCTTAAAAAATGTTTTAGTTTTATTCAGCAAGGACACATTATATTGATCAAAAATGACAGTAAAGACATTGATAATGGTACAAAAGATTTCTATTTAGGGATGCTCCGATCCGCCTTTTTTGCCTCCGATACCGATTCCTAGGGTTCGGTATTGGCCGATACCGATTCCGATCCGATACCAGTGAAGTTCATTTATTTATTTATTAAATTTAAATAAATGTAGAATTTATATATCTCCGTGTGTGGAACTGATAATCATTCTTTCACAATCTACTAGATACATACTTCATTATAAAGAAAAATAAAATAAACAAATATGAAAAAATATAGGCCTATGTATATTTAGAATCTATGACAAAAACATTTCATAAACTAGGTTAGTGGATGATTCGGCAGCAAAAGTTATTCTAGAAAAATCAGTGCACAATCATTTTAGAAATCCAAACATTTAGTGAAAAAACAATATTTTGTGGGGAACAAATAAAAGTGTTGCACTAAATATGGTAAAATGTTACACATTGCTATTTGTATTATTATAAAATCCATTCATTAAAAACATTCATGAATGTATTTATATACAAGTACATACAATAAAATTAAAATACATTTATTTTAAATGTACAGCATATTTTTTAATAAGGCAACAACATATGATAGATACGATAGGACAAAACAAATACAGTGCAGCACGAACTGTTTTTATACAGTCAACCTTCAACGGACACCTTGGCAATTGAATCGCCATCGGCTAGTATATTTTTTTGTTTACTCGCCAGACTGAAATACTATACTATACTATCTATATCTATCTATCTATCTATATATAAATAAAGTTATGCCATTTTACAAACATATATAATGTTTGATTTAGTGAAAAAACAATATTTTGTGGGGAACAAATAAAAGTGTTGCACTAAATATGGTAAAATGTTACACATTGCTATTTGTATTATTATAAAATCCATTCATTAAAAACATTCATGAATGTATTTATATACAAGTACATACAATAAAATTAAAATACATTTATTTTAAATGTACAGCATATTTTTTAATAAGGCAACAACATATGATAGATACGATAGGACAAAACAAATACAGTGCAGCACGAACTGTTTTTATACAGTCAACCTTCAACGGACACCTTGGCAATTGAATCGCCATCGGCTAGTATATTTTTTTGTTTACTCGCCAGACTGAAATACTAATATATATATATAAATAAAAGTTATGCCATTTTACAAACATATATAATGGTTGTAAAATGGTAAATACAACAAAGTATATCTTTTACATGTAGTGCATCAATTCTGCATTTTATGTAAGACTCTCGCTCTTTGCGTGTGTGTGTGAGAAAGCGACGGCGAGTCGTGCACCTTCACACTAGAGTTTACGTTACGCCAAATACACAAACACAGGTGCGCTGCGCATCCATTCAGATGAACTGAAAAATATCAGATCGCTTGACGGAGAGTGAAACTCTGAAGCGCTCAGTCAGAGTGTTCTGTGAGTGAAAATATATCTGTGCTAACTGCTAACCATATACTCAGCATCCAGCTCATACACTGGCGAGTAAAATCTGAGAATTGATTAGCCATTGGCTAATATTAGACATCATTTAATCGCATATGCGAGTGATTTACCCGCAATGTAGAGGGTTGACAGTCTATGAGCACGAAGCGCATTGTAAGTGCTTCGTGTTAAAAACTGCAAAGCACAAAGGGAAGAGAAATTGATGTGTAGTGTATCAGAATCAGAATCAGAATGAGTTTTTATTGCCAGGTATGTTTACACATACGAGGAATTTGTTTTCATGACAGAAGCTCCACAGTGTGTATTATAGTGTATTATATCTGTGCTACAGTTATTGAGCCTTTCTTTTAACAATTTTAAATTTCAGTTACTGTGCACATTAAAAACAATTTATAGTCTTTTCTACGCCCGTGTTTTGTTCTCACAGACTCCCGGTAGCAAGTAACAAAACATTAAACTCCGGCAAGAAGATAAAGTCCTTTTTGCAAAATCATAGACATGTATTTACAAATCAAGTATAATGGGAACACAGAATGATCTTGCAGAGAGCTTTACCGAACTGACTGCTGTAACCGAACGCGAGCAGGGTTTAAAGGCTGAACGAATGACTGACAGCCACAGCGGAGAAAAGAGTTTGTGTGAACTTTAATGTAAGGACTTAAATATTCATATGTAGCTCACATTAAGCTATCGTATGGCTTCAGAGTAACACAGAATAATTCGCACAATCGAAAAAATTAAAATAAAAATCTTGGATTTGGATCGGCTCTCTCTGACCGATACCCGATCCGAGAAAAATGGCACTATCGGAGCCGATACCCGATATGAATATCGGCTCGGCGCATCCCTATTTCTATTGCGAACAAATGCTGCTCTTTTAAACTTTCGATTCATAAAACAATCGTGGTTTCCACAAAAACATTCAGCAGCACAAATGTTTTCAAAATAGATAATTAGAAATGTTTCTTGAGCAGCAAATCAGTATATTAGAATGATTTCTGAAGGATCATGTGACACTGAAGACTGGAGTAACGATGCTGAAAATTCAGCTTTGATTGATAAATGACATTTTACAATATGTTCACATAGAAAAGATTTATTTTAAATTATAATAATATTTCCTAATATTTAAAAAAAATATTACTGACCCCAAACATCGATCTATCTCAAATTGTCCAGATCTGATCAGATTATCGGAGTGTATTTTCTCACCGGTTATGCTGTCTTTAGCGGTGGTGATGGTGTTGTCGTGTGTCGAGATCTCCAGCGGTGCTGCTCCTCCATCCTTGACCGGTCCACTGTTTCGGACCGGAGTTTTGTTCTCCTGGCTTTGCTGACGGCCCTCACTGGGCTGGGTCTTCCCTTTCCCCCTCTCGCCAGAGTTAGTTCTGCCCGTCAGCCGGCGGGCTTTGCCCTTCCCCGGCTCCTGGGGGCTGCCGATGCAGGTCCTGCCAGTGCTGGGACCGCCCTGGATCTCCTCTTTCACCCTGGGGATGGCATCCTTGCTTCGGCTCGGGACTGTGGTGCTCTCCCACTGGGGTTTGGAGGACGACACCTTGCCCCCGTTCGAGCGGGAAGGTTTGACCACCTTCACGGGGCTTTTGGGGTCCTCCATGCCACTCCTCTTCTCTCCGGATGAGAATGAAGAAAAGCCCAAAGGGCTCTGGGTTGAAGGTTTCTGGAGCAGAAACACGACAGAATCAGATCGTGGGGATCCAGAAATGTTTGTGCATTGAAGGTTTGATAAATCAGGAGAAATCTGGCAATATTGGGAAGTGAATACTAGCTTAGTACTCCAATGAGTGGCATCTAGCCATGATCTAGGAAATATTATTTATAAAAATTTAATATATTTCATTATACTAACTACTACACTAACTAAATAATATGGAAATATTACGTTTAGGCAGGTAAAGAGAGAGATAAATCATTCATACATATAAATATAAAGCTAATTGCGACTTTTTCTGACAATTCTGGATATTTCTTTATTTCATGCAGTGTAGATATGCATATTAAAAACATTCTTAAAATAAACAAATTGTTCAATTATAAATTATTATTAGCGCGGTCAAATTATTAATCGCATCCAAAATAAGTTTGATTATAAAATATATGTAGGTGTACGGTGTACATTTATTATGTACATAATACACATACATGCATGTATACATTTAAGAAAACCATGTTATGTTTATACAGGTGCATCTCAATAAATTAGAATGTCGTGGAAAAGTTCATTTATTTCAGTAATTCAACTCAAATTGTGAAACTCGTGTATTAAATAAATTCAATGCACACAGACTGAAGTAGTTTAAGTCTGGGTCTGAATACTTTCCGTACCCACTGTAAGTATATTAAAACCATATTCATAAAATACGTTTTAAAATGTTTAAATGCAAAGTTATTGCGTATTAAATAGCTAAACAAATAGCTAAATAAATTGCTTAGTATTATTATTGCATTCAATGTCTGCATTCAGTGTTAAAATTCATATTAGAAATATAGAAAAGTAGAGAATTATAGAAACTGTAGCTAAATAAATAGCTAATTATTATAGAAATATAGAAAAAAGAAATAGAAATTGATTTATAGAAATTGTAGCTAAATAAATAGCTAATTATTATAGAAATATAGAAAAAAGAAATAGAAATTGATTTATAGAAATTGTAGCTAAATAAATAGCTAATTATTATAGAAATATAGAAAAAAGAAATAGAAATTGATTTATAGAAATTGTAGCTAAATAAATAGCTAATTATTATAGAAATATAGAAAAAAGAAATAGAAATTGATTTATAGAAATTGTAGCTAAATAAATAGCTAATTATTATAGAAATATAGAAAAAAGAAATAGAAATTGATTTATAGAAATTGTAGCTAAATAAATAGCTAATTATTGTTGTTGTTGTTGCATTCAGAGACTGCATTAAAATCCATATTAAAACCTTATCTATAAAATAAATAACATTAATTTAAAAAATGCAAAAAGATTATCATTATTGTCACAGCTACGGTGGAATGAGGAGCGCCAGACGAAGGAGATGAATTCTAACAGTATTTAATATAATCAACACGAGGATCCCAGCCATGATGGCGGCCCACGGTGGAGCCAATGAGGGAGGAGCCATGGTGGAGGAAGGGCTGACGGCTCCAGGGAGCCAGGGGAGGACAGACAGACAGTTCAGAGCAGACAGATAGTTCAGGGCAGGCAGAAAGTTCAGAGTGCAGTATTTATGTCTGCATAAATATCCAAATAACAGTCCATTGAGCTCAGCTCACCCTCAGCCATGGTGCAGTGGGTGGAGCTCCCCTCTGCGCTCTCGCTGTCCATAGCGCTCTCTTCTCTTGAAGTCGTGGCCTAATGGTTAGAGATTCGGACTCGTAACCTAAAGGTTGTGAGTTCGAGTCTCGTACCGGCAGGGATTGTAGGTGGGGGGAGTGAATGTACAGCGCTCTCTCCCACCTTCAATACCATGACTGAGGTGCCCTTGAGCAACGCACCGAACCCCCAACTGCTCCCCTAGTGCCGCAGCGTAAATGGCTGCCCACTGCTCTGGGTGTGTGTTCACTGAAAAAGAATGTGATGTGAAATATTTTTCATATAATATATTTTTTAGAATTGTATTATTTATTTATTTTATTGTTTATATTATTGCTATAGTACAGTTGTGTGTTACTCTGCTTCTCCCATTTGTTCTTTTTCATTGACTATCACGACTAATACAATCAGATACAACAATAAGTTCTCAAATATGTATTACAATATATACTGATAAATTTAACATTCACTTCAGTGGTAAGAGATGACTGAATGCTTTCAACCGATTTCCAGTTGAACTGTCATAAAATATCAAATATCAAAAAGCTGGTCAGCAGAAGGAAGCATGAAGTGCTCCAAAATTTCTTGGTAAACGGGTGCAGTGACGTGGTTTTCAAAAAACACAATGGACCAACACCAGCAGATGACATTGCACCCCAAATCATCACAGACTGTGGAAACTTAACACTGGACTTCAAGCAACTTGGGCTATGAGCTTCTCCACCCTTCCTCCAGACTCTAGGACCTTGGTTTCCAAATGAAATACAAAACTTGCTCTCATCTGAAAAGAGGACTTTGGACCAATGGGCAACAGTCCAGTTCTTCTTCTCCTTAGCCCAGGTAAGACGCCTCTGACGTTGTCTGTGGTTCAGGAGTGGCTTAACAAGAGGAATACGACAACTGTAGCCAAATTCCTTGACACTTTGAGTTGAATTACTGAAATAAATGAACTTTTCCACAGCATTCTAATTTATTGAGATGCACCTGTATTATATGTACTATTTGTAAACATAATCAATGTGGGTCCATGTATCATTCGTTCAGTTGTTTTTTTGATTTAATAGGAAAGTAGAAAAACAAGGAAAACGGCTCCTTTTTAATTTTGAAAATTTTTCCCTAAAACGTAAAACAAGAATTTAGCTTAATTTAAAATTTTTCGTTCAGATATGGAAAAATGAATAAGCATCTTGAATATTCGATTTCTACACGTGGGCAGGAATTAAATGTCCCTTACTGCTGATTGGTCAGCCGAAGATCAAACCATGGCGTCATCAGGGGCAAGTTGAAGCTCAAACCGGTGTGCACCGTTTTGCTACGGTTTACGGGTTGAACGACATGTTTCCTGGAAACGGTGTGCAACGGGGTTTGAGATACGTTTTCTCTTGTTTGGTGGCTGTGTCAAACATGTCAGCCCAATCAGCAGCAACATGTATGTTTAAACCACACGGTATTAAAGAGACAGCGCACAATGTAATTAACATCCAAATAAATTCACAAGAGCAAGTATATTGTTTGCACATGTTTATTTACATGACATTAAGAGCACAAGTATAGATCTGGAACTTCTTTAAGTCTGTCTAAATATCATTTAGTAATTGCAATGTCTTCTGGTCCATATCATTTCTTTAGGAAGGTGTGCTAGACACTGATTAATGTCTTTTCTATACCCCTCTGATTATATAATGGTAAATATTACAATATCAAAGCACAACAACCGTGATCAGCAATAATGATAAGCCTAATACTCACAATAAAAATAATAAGGTCATATAGATCATAACACAGTCTCGGAGGTAAGAAGTGGATTATCCTTCACCTGAAATGTTTGTCTTTTCATCCTGAAATGCGAGGCAAATGTTGGATCACAATAATTAGGAGCCACAGTTTCCACAAACCCCTTCACTGGATTGGGATGTTCTCTTTTATTCTGGAGGGCAAGGGCAGTGACTGTAACATCGAGTGTATTTTGCAGTATTAAACACGTGTTTATACCGATTTCATCAGGCTCCGAAAATTCTTCAAAAAGAACACAAAGAATGGCCTTCTCAGCTGCCATAGCTGCAACTCTTGCTTCATCAGAACAGTGTTCAACACACCCCCGTTTCCGTTTAAAACACGTTTTGCACCGTTTTGTCGGGGCTGAACGCAGCCCAGTTCTTTCTCATTTCCGCAACTTCAGAGGGACTTTGGAGCGGGTTCGTGAATCTTTTAATTCCTATCAGAACTTCGGATCGAGCTAGTTCATGAATAAGTTCGCAAATTAAAAGATATACGTGCTTCAAAGTCCCGATTTAAAATGATGGTTTGCAAATTATTACTCAGGCTGGGACTTCGGAGCGTGGATCGTGGATCGTGGATCGTGAATCATTTGATTTAGATCGGAACTTTGGAGCGGTTTTCCGAATCTTTTGATTCGAATCAGGACTTCGTAGCGTATTGTGAATCATTTTTTTTAGGAACTTGAGAGTGGGTTCTCAAATCATTTGATTCATATTTGATCTGAAATGAAGGTGCGCAAATCATTATTCAGATTGGGAATTGGAGCACGGATCGCAAATCATTTGATTCAGATTGGGATTTCAAAGTAGGTTTGTGAATCTGATTTCTTTTTCTTTCTTTCTTTCTTTCTTTCTTTCTTTCTTTCTTTCTTTCTTTCTTTCTTTCTTTCTTTCTTTCTTTCTTTCTTTCTTTCTTTCTTTCTTTCTTTCTTTCTTTCTTTCTTTCTTTCTTTCTTTCTTTCTTTCTTTCTTTCTTTCTTTCTTTCTTTCTTTCTTTCTTTCTTTCTTTCTTTCTTTCTTTCTTTCTTTCTTTCTTTCTTTCTTTCTTTCTTTCTTTCTTTCTTTCTTTCTTTCTTTCTTTCTTTCTTTCTTTCTTTCTTTCTTTCTTTCTTTCTTTCTTTCTTTCTTTCTTTCTTTCTTTCTTTCTTTCTTTCTTTCTTTCTTTCTTTCTTTCTTTCTTTCTTTCTTTCTTTCTTTCTTTCTTTCTTTCTTTCTTTCTTTCTTTCTTTCTTTCTTTCTTTCTTTCGGTTTGTGAATCTGATTAATTTTTTTCTTTCTTTCTTTCTTTCGGTTTGTGAATCTGATTTCTTTCTTTCTTTTTTTCTTTCTGTTTATCTTTCTTTCGGTTTGTGAATCAGATTTTTCTTTCTTTCTTTTGGTTTGTGAATCTGATTTCTTTCTTTCTTTTTTCTTTCTTTCTTTCTTTCTTTCTTTCTTTCTTTCTTTCTTTCTTTCGGTTTGTGAATCTGATTTCTTTCTTTCTTTCTGTCTTTCTTTCTTTCTTTCGGTTTGTGAATCTGATTTCTTTATTTCTTTCTTTCTTTTTTTCTTTCTGTTTATCTTTCTTTCGGTTTGTG